GCGATTGCATACAGCAAAATTCGTAAAGTCAATGGAAGAATATGCGAAAAAGTGTTGGGTTTTGAGGAATCTCCTATTTTATAATTGTCCTATTGCATACGCCTTGGTTCACAATTTCTCTCTCACACACAGACAGGTTGCTCATCCTCCTAACCAGTGGTTGGTCCTGAATTAGGCAATTGAAGTGAGTATTAAAAAAATAAATTAAATATATTTATTTATTTATTTATATATTTATGAAGGGGGAGGGTTGCCGAGGAGAGATGTTACATTCTGCTCTACTTATATTGAGATATAACTGCTGGTATCGTGCATATGTGTAAACATTAGGGCAAATAAGAGCACACAAACAGGTCAACATGCATATTTCTACAATAATATATGATTTTCAATAGCCAAATCCCTTTATGCCTCATCAAACTGCATAGATTTAGGGTAAATGTAAGGCATTCAGAGACAGGAAGTTGAGTTTTCTTGACTCGTTAGCTTGAATACGGTTGCAAGAATTAAACTTTGTTCAATCAGAATTTTACACTAAGGCCAAACAATAGCTGGCCCCGAATAATCTGCCTTTGTATAATGTTAGGATTCATATTCGAATCAGTTCATCACGCATTTCAACTTGAAATGGAACAACAATAGTATTACGTATATTGCATAAAAATATTAAAGGAAAAACATAATGCTACTCTTAGTAGTATAATTCAGGAAAACCAAACTCGTTTGCGACGTGGAATAGTTGGGCCTATGAAAACGATTAGCTGGTGCTGTCTGAATAAGCAGACAAGTGATCAAGTGGATCTGCAATCTTGCCTATTTCTTGTTCAAACTGTCAGAAGTACAGAAGATTTTCATTTTTGCGGAAACAAATACAAATTACATAATGGGTTTTCTGAGCTCCCTACGTTTCATATATACTTCTTTGATTTCAGTTTATATGAGAAGAGGACACGAATGAGAAGCTATGACTTGTCTGCCGAATTGCCTCGGATTCTTTATCCACTTCTCTGAAGTAGACAGACGTATAAAATGCCAATAAAGAGATTTCAAGATTACGCTTCATGAGTTTTCAGGAGATTTATGATTTATTTAATTATCAGCAATCGTGATACTCCATTAAAATGTTGGCCTTTGGTAAAATCTCGGTGAGCTGTATTACTGTAACCCTAATACTTCTGATATACTTAAAGCAACAATTCTTCTTAACTCATTGAAAGTGAAGATAAATATCAAGCTAGAATTAACCACAAAAACAAGGTCTCGAGTTAATTCTCATTAGTTTTTTCTAATAAAGATATGAAGATATAGCTTTAGTCCTAAGTTAAAACTTGGATACTACTAACATTTTCACCAGTAGTATTCACAGAAGTAAAATTTGTATTTCTCGATGAATGGACATATTTTTCTTGTTAAGGTATGGTCCATCCTATTTCCGTAGCGCTTTTATATCTTTTTTATTTTCAAAGGTCTCAGTCACCTCTCATTTAACGGTGCCTGTCTACATTCCCAATAAAAAGGCTAATTTCTGTCTTGTCAGCTTGTTTATTTCATCTTTCGCAAGTTCTATTCACACCGAAAAAGCAGGAAAACAAACAAGTCGCCAATATAAGCCAAATCATCAGACAGCACACACTTCTGCTTCCCTCGTAGAGTTGAGCCTCTTGCTGATGCGCGATTTGGCTTTTCCAGCCGGGACTCTAACATGCACATATACACAGATGCAAGCACGAATAATCTATGCTGCTATTCCCTTTCGTACACTCTCGCGTGTTGCCATGACAAGTGCCGCTTGGTTTTGACGACTTGACTACGCCCATATTAGACGTTCAGTCTACATAACTTCCGAGATTTTAATCACATGTCTGGAGTTAGGTCGACACTGTCTGCATCAATTTCTCCTCATGTCGGTGTGCCTACTCTGAGTACTCCAGCCTCAAGGCAGATTCCAGCAAAGCAGATGCTTGTTTTGATTCGTGAGACGTCTTGCTGACGCTTCTCAGTAGGCCCGGCAACTGAGGTCGGAAAGAATGGTGAGATGAAGGACCAGTCAAAGCAAAAGCACTATTGAATTTAGCACACACACACACACACACACACACAAACAGGGTAATAGTGACACACGCATACAGGCATGCAGACATAAGCATGTATGCACATGTGCAAACACACGCCTATACAACAACAAGTACAGGGACTTTTGCTCTGTTTTATCAAAATTATGCTCAGCCAACTTTACTTCACAAACGGTGTCTGTTGTGTGCTCAAGACTTTGCCTTCACAACCTGATCACATGCACGCATCGAGATCCATTTTTCTCTTGTGACTATGCGTCTTTTTCAGCCGAAGCAGACGTCTTTAGCACCCACGCTCGGTGAACTAGCTGCGTTGGCGTCCTGACTGTCGGCAGTCAGTTTCCACTTGTTCTTCGGCGCCTCCACAACAATGACGAACAAAGAGTCCTCATGGTTCCCTGTATTCGCCGTCGCCTCTCTT